TGAACTGATGTAGAGGAGAACCAATTTAAAAGATCTGATCACCATATAGCTTGCATCATTGTAACACACCCATACCTTTGCCTGATGATTGTTTTGAGGATCCAGATTCAGCATTTCTTGAGGGTGTGCCTTGATTGTCACAAGATACAGACTTTGACAGTTATAGATAGGGTTAGAAGAACAGACATAATTATTGTTACAGTGGGTCAGTTGGTAAAGAGCTCTGTTGATCCAGGAGGTCATGGGGTTTAAAATACTTTTGGGTACTTGATCTAAAACTTGAACTTCGTTTTCTTAAATCAGGAACGAATCACTGTCTGCACCTTCTAAATCTAAAGAATCATCCACATAACCTGTATCATGAAGGAAAGTGGGGTTACCGTAAATGACATGTATAACTGGTTACAGAGTGCTATTTTGATACTAGGTGATTTCAATTTGAGGGACTAGTGAAAAAAAGTCCAGTTCTAATTTTAAATTGTTTGAAATCTTATCATAATGTAGACATGCGAATGTCAAAAAACCTTGAACAATCTTATGACAAAATACATACCTGACTCATTGCAAGACCTCTTGGAAGTCTGAACTACAAAAAAGGATAAGATTTCTAAAGTCAACTTAGATGCTTTACACAAACAGCAGTTGTCGTCTTGACCTTATGCAAAATGAATGGCAACCACACTGACATTGGGTCTATTACCTCAAATATAACATCCAGTCCAAAATTCAAAACATTTGAATGGGCACTGAGTTGTTATTGTGAGGCGCAGCACTTCATATTTTAGATGTGTCAACCTTGTGCTTTTTCCAGTCTGAACACAGATGATAACAAATTGGTCAAACCTTGTATATAGTTCATGCAGTATCATTGTTGTCTTTGTATTATTTATGTCTGCTATGTCCAGTTTTAGGCTTGAGATGGGCAGGACATCACTATTTTTGCATTTTCAGTACATTTAATTTCTGACAATACATCCCAGGGAGTGCACCACAGTTGTTTCTATGCTGCCGTTATTGGATGCATCTAAACAGTCAACTTCTTCCTGAGGAGCCACTAGCACTGGCAAGTTTCTCCTTGCTGCATTTAGTTCGTTTTTCAGATTATCATTCAACTCCCTTTCTGCTTTCAGTGCCTCCTTCAGTTTGCCAATTTCATCTAGGTATTCTAGCTTGGTACGTTTAAATTTGTCTGTTTGTTGCCTTAATTGACCTCGCAAAATGGCAGAATTATGGCAGGAAGAAGGTTCTGAGGACTCGACAGCCATTGTTTCCTCTTCATCTGTAGCTTCTATGTTACACCCTAGAAAAATTTCATCATATTACTGTTTTAATAATTTGCGGCTCACCCCTGAAATGCAAAAAGGTGAAAAGAGTTGAAGTGTGTACATGTACCTTGAAAAAAATTTGATTGATTGCTATACAATACTTACAACTGTCAATTATTTTCAGTTGATCCTCACAGATACTTTGATGTGGTATTTTTAGTGAAGGTACATGCCCAGAATTTTGAAATGCAGTTCGGAAGTCTGCATTTCCTCCATCAATACTTCCTACAATGTTTCGAAAGTCTTGACCAGTGTAGGGTGTTCCAGCTTTCTGCAGCAACAATGACACTTTCAGCCTGTGTAGATGTAGGGCTGGGCCATGAGGGGACAATCTCTGTGGGACAGATGGTTTCAGCCATGTGGATACCTAACGAGACATTATATAATTACATAAGATAGTCAGGATCTCATGACTCTTTTTCAGACATACATGCATGTAAATACATCTTTTGTGGTTAATACTCACTTTCAGCGTGTATAGCTAGTGCTACGTGGGGTAGGATGGACTTAGGCAAGCAGTGAAGCAGTTGTAACATTTCAAATTGTCATCAACAAAGTTCTGTATAATTCTATTAATATAATTTGAAACCAAATGAAAGAGACACAAACTGGTTTGTGAAATTTTACACTTCTTTAAAATTTGACCACAGTGCATTTAGAAACAACATTCCAGTCTGTCACAGCAGTCGTGCATGATGCATTTAGTAGCAAATGCCACAATGGATTTAGAACTTGAGGTGGATGTATATTTGTTACATCGAATATTGTCAGACATAATAGATGAGATGGTAGGAAATTGCAAATATGTACATACATCATCTTGTGAATGTCCTTTTCTCACAGCCTCCACAATATCTGTGATAAGATCTTCAAGTGTAGCCTTCACTTTCTGCGACTGGCGATACAATCCCTTTACATTTGGAATCAGTTTTTCCTCCAAGTGGGAGTCAAATTCAGTCTCACTAACTACAGACTCATCCACAACCAACTCTATTATCTGTTCAAATAGTGAAATCAAAAAGTCTAAGTTGCAGTTGGGTGTCAAATTAGCAATATTCATCATCATTACACTATCAGTGATCCCACACTTCATACATTTTAGCTCAAAAAGATGATATTGCTTGTCATTTTGAGTGGGTATATCTTCTTAATGTTTAAACTTGTTCCTGCAGTAAGTATACCCATAAATCCTCTTTTAATTAAGCCACCCCTCTTTGAAGGGGAAAATTTTTTTAACCTCACCCACCCTTCCCCCTTGAGAAAAACATACACTTCATATCACTTAAGTCCTATGATTGATTCAACTTTTGGGAGTTCTTTTCATAGCCTTAAAATTTTTGAGTGAGAATCAATAGTGTATTCAGAAATTACAGAGAGAGATGCATAAACAAGTTAGCATATCCCATTGTTTGATGGTAGTGCACATTGGGCTGCATATTACCAAATCAATAAGCCAGTCCTTGATAGTACCTGAAAAAAATTAGCCATGCATAATGGCTTTATAGATGATTTATGCTAGCTTCTTTTATTAATAATTCATCACTAAGTTAATACAGAGAAAACCAGAACCGTGACTGTGGTTTTAATTTGACATGTGATCGTAATCCGAAAAAAAGTTTTTCTTTCTGTAGCTTTAGTTATAATAATTGAGATATTAGATCAAAAACCAATATTCATTTTTAACTAATTTTCATTATAGATTCATTTTTAACTAATTTTCCCAATTGTGGAAATTTAAAATAACTTATAGTTCATGGAATCTCACTGACCTTCAACGCAAAAAGGTGGTAGATGGAATAAACCAGTGGCAGCCATGATGGCGATCCTGTCAGTCTTTGTTGGAAGAACCAGATATGGTCTTCCAGTCCTGCCTGGGTGAATTCCCCCATTCGGATTATTGATGGCAAACAGTTTGCGCCTGCATGTTGAAATGCAGTGTTACGGGCATGAAAAAAGTCTTCACCAGCTTCTCCATTTTGAATTGTGTCAAAAAAAATTGGTGTGGTCCTTTCAAATGCCCTAGTAATATGAGAAAACAGCAATAAATAATAATTAATTTTAGTTAGTGCATATTAGAGAGGATATTTCCCCATTGGTACTTACCAATGACTGAAAGAACCTTCTCATAGTGGAAGGCAGACACTGCTCCAGACAGGAGACAAATAAACTGGTAAAAATTATTCTTAGTGAAGTTCTTTGCGGCTTTCGTAAAGAGAAACCAATTAAACTGCCTGAGTGGAAGTTCAATTACTGGTGGCGTCGACTTTAGGTTTTCACGAAGAAGTGGATCCCCAGAATTGGATGACTGTGGAATCCCAACTAAGTGTGGTACCATCCAAATGTACTCCTTTTCCTCATCTGGGATAAGCATCCCTTGGCCATCCAGCTAAAAAAAAGGAGGATACCAGTTATTTATCTCTAAGGCTGCTAAGGCCATCTCCCTTTTTTTCTCCGTTTAGCGTCGTTTGACCGACCCAGATTTTCTCATTTTCTAAAACAAGAATAAAAAGTTATGAAGAAGGCAATGACATATAATATCAGTATGCAGTTTAGGTGGTTCATCTTTTTTTTGCTGTTCACGTTTGAGTTTAACCACGATGTCAATCTTGTCACCATGTTGACTTTGTAACCTCGTCTTGTTGATTCCAGGCTCCACAGATATTATGCTAAGGTACTGGCCTCCTAGTTCCTGAGGCGGGGGTTCTCTTTTCTGACCAACCGACCCAAAATCAGGAAATGCATTCGGGAGTAAACGAAAAAATGAAGGGGGGGAATGGCCTAAAAAATAACTGAATCTACAATTAAAACTTGGAACTAAAAAAAATTAATGTAATCCCTTGTGTAGTGTTTGTAAGGTACATTTCGGTGCATCATACATAATATACTTAAGCGCGCAATGTAAGTTGGGAAGTTGATTATTAAAGCAGCATGGCGGACGTGTGGATTGGATTTGTGTGTCGTATCTGTTCATTGCAATAATCCAGTTCCATCAGTAGTGGAACGTGACATCTGGTGACGAGGATTGAAGTTGCAACTGCCCAGACCATGGCGTCAATAAAGATAGACGATTTGACGAGTGTAAAACCCTTCGACCCACATGGTCAACCTTCAGGCGTGGGAAGGCGATGGCAGCGTTGGCTGAAAAGTTTCTCGATGTATGCCGACAGCAAAGGCTTGCTCATCAAAGCGGATAAAGCCGATAATAAAATCCAGAGGAGAGCTTTACTCCTTCATTCTGCCAGCGAAGCTGTTCAAGAAATTTTTGAAACGTTGACTGACACAGGCGAGGCAAAAGATTACGAAAAAGCGGTGAAGGCTTTGAACGATTATTTCATTCCAAAGGTAAATTTGACATACCAAAATCACCTGTTCCGCAGCATGGAACAACAGGACGGCGAAACTGTGGCTCAGTGCGTGACGCAATTGAGGCAAGTGGTCAAGGACTGTGACTACGGCGAACAAGCCGAAAACCAGATTCATGATCAAGTCGTGCAGAGATGTAAATCACATGAATTAAGAAAGAAACTACTGGAAAAAGGTGAGAAACTAACCTTAGAGCTGTTACTTTCGACAGCAGCAAATCACCAGCGAGTTCAATCACAGCTGGAGAATATGGAAGGCAGAAAGGATGTGAATTTGGTCCNCAAGAGGCCTGTGAGGTGTGTCTGAATAATTGCATTTTTGTATTTCATATAACTATTATTTTATTCAACACTCTTCACTTTTCATTGGCAGAACATAAATCTTCACTTTCATGAACAAAAATTCCATGCAACAGGAAAATTTCGTTTTTGTGCAGGAATTTTCATTTCAAGTACTCAATGCTTCATCAGTATAAAGCAGCGTTCAATTTTAGACACACTATCTAGAGAGGGTAAGTGTAAAATGAAACCTGCAGAGGATGGTGTAAAATTGTTCAAGTATTCTAAAGAAGAGTTTGCCATGTGGCTGGACTTTGGCAATATCTGAAGCTCAGTCTGCCAGCAGCACTGTTGCAAATGACATATAACAGGGATAGTATCAAGATGTTACAAATTGGAAATTGGAAATTTGTAACAAATTGGAAGCAAATTATATTCACCACAAAGGAACCAACAAAAGGTATAAATACCTGTAGCAATGCAGCCTTTAGCCTCTTTGAAAGCTAGTCTCATGTCGAGCAGCATCTCTGTATAGAGGTGTGTGAGGATTTGATCCACTGAAATAGATTATGTACATTTAAGACTTAATTAATACAACAATTTAGTTTGGGGAGTTTTTTGGTTTATATGTTCTGGCAATTAATTATGCACAATGTACCCTATGAAGGTGAATCTCAGCTGGCTTAAATCACCATCTACCTGATTTACTACCCTATTACCCTGCAGTTTAAGTTTACTAATGACCAAGATATTCCAGTCTATGACTGAATTCGACTCATTCTGATTCTAAATTATTAATATATTCTCTGCTTTGTGGTTCTTAAGGTCAAAACAGTAATCACCAAGAAACATGCTAGATACAGGTGTATCTGTGAGTGCTGTTATCATCATGATGGAAAATATAGAAAAAACCAACAACACTTACAAGTATTTATTTTAGCCTCTTTTGAGTATCAAGTTTGGAACACCCCAGTACAAATTGAAATAAACTTACATGATGCAGTGTCACCTGATGAATCATGTGACGTAGCTCTGGCATACAGCTGTTGCTGTAATTTGTGAGCCGCTTCAAATCCCTGGTTGGATAGGTGACGAAGAGAGCAATGCACTCTAAAAAGCACTGGAACATGTTCTACCGTTAGGTGGCCATAATCACTTGTTCCTAGATTGCTCCCGAACATCTCCAGGAGGAGGAAACCCCACTCTTTGCACTAGAAAAGATTGACATTTTCAAGTTAAAACTCATCATAACTATTTTTTTTTTATTCGCATTATTTGTATTGACTGTCTTCCACCAACATGACACTGGTAATGCAAGGAACACATTTTTATGGGAAATATTGTACTAGTGTTCATGTACATGTATAAAGAATGTTAAACCAGTTTCAAACACAAATCATTAAGACTTCAAACAAGCTGATGCCACACTAAAAGAAAGCTCTAAAGGATAATCAGTTCCATTAAAGTGCTCCAACCTTGACATCAAAAATGTCGATCAAGTGTTCCTCATTTGCTTTAAATTCTGTCTCTCATTATTAAAGCAATTTCCTTCCAAAGGGAGCAAACCTAAGAAAGTCAAAAGTGACACATGATGGTTAATTGAAAGTCTGTTTGGTCAATGAATATGCACATACATGTAACAACCCCTCTTTCTATCCGAGAATTAAGCAAGCCAAATCATTGCAAAATTCATAAATAAACAGTGTTGAAAAAGAATTAGAATTAAATTGGCGCACGTTGGATAGGAGATGGTAAGTAACCAACAAGGTGCGTAGCGCAAAGTTGGGTACAGCCAGTCACACATCCAACAAGCATGAAAGTAAACCTCACCATTGTTAGAAATTCCTTCATTAGTGTGCCAGCATAGCAACTCAGCTCCCGATTTTCCTCCTTCTGAGGTTTCCTTCTTCCCTTTCTGGCCTTAACTGTCTGAACAGGTTGATAAAGAACTTTAACCTGACTTTCAATGTCCTCTTGCTTTTGCTTCCAGAAATCTATGCGATTCTGCAACTCCATACTGACATCTATACACACACCAAAAATTAACCCAAAATCATTCACAATGTTGAAACCTTTTCAGCCAACCAATTAACATACTGTAATCAACCACAGAAGTTCCTGTTAGGACCTGAAATAAAAGAATTAGAAGCTATTGCCTTCATCAAGCTGAGTTTGATATGTTAAACAAACATCATATTATACATGTACCTGAATTTTGCAACTTGACCTTTTCTAGTCTTTTGCCAAAGTCAAGGACAAAAATCCTTCTTTTAAACATTTCCCTGTAGTACTAGCAAGAAAACAAGACAATCTAAGCTTTTGCATTATATCCACTGACAAAGTAAATTAATATACATGTAGCATGCACTATGAATAGTTTTGTATTTTACAGTGCAGGTAAAATACAAAATGAACACTTTTGTTTGCAAAATGCATACTCCATCTTGAGTTTGAAGCACTATTATTCTCCACAAGGAGACCTACAGATATACAGTATATCACAATTTGAGATCCAAAGAATCAAAGTTCAACATTAATTTCCATGGATCATTTATCCTGATGGGTTTAATCATACCGAGACTGACTTACGAAATACAATGAATGTACACTGTATGAGATGTCACAAGACAGCAAACATTTTGGATAGTCTGCCCAAAAACAGACAGTGGCAGTGCAGCATAATTACATTCGAAGAAGGAGAAGACATCCAAAATTAAATTCTGTTAAGATTATTAAATTTTGGCTCACTGTGTATGTTGGCAACATCAATTGAGATTTTTTGTCTGTAAGTGACACCAAAGTAGCCACCCCGAAGATTCTTTTGTGGTTTGTAGATTATGACATGCAGAACTAGTACAACTGAAAACAAATACTATACATTCCAAGTCCAGAGGGAGGCAATACCTTTAGGCGTGCTTCGCAGAAAGAGATTTTATTGAGGATACACATTTTGGCTGCCTCTGGGACTTGATAATGAACTGCTAGCTTTTCATTAGGCAGGGATACTTCAACTATTTCTTCCATTGCTGAGAGGATTTTATGTTCAGTGGAACCTTAAGAAATCAATTTAAAAATTGTAAGTGTACAGACTTTGAAATAATGATGTTAGTGTATGTGAAGTTGCCCCCCACCCCCATCATTTAGGGTGCATTCATTTGGCTGTACAATGATTTCTAAAATCTCTTATTGAAGGTTTTGGAATCGTTGATGCTTAATCATCATGATCATCATCATCATAGCTAGCACAATTGAAAACACAATGATATATTACAATTACCTGAAAACGAAGAAACAGAAACATTGTTTCAACTCGGAGCTGTTTGTTGTCCAGGTTTTAATTTCACAGTGATCGGATCTGAGTGGAAGTTCTCTGGACCAAATTTGGATAACTCCTCATTACACTGTTTGAGAGAACCTATCTCATAAGCAAGTAAACCCACGCTCTTTAATAGCTGCTCAGTGTTCCACATTTCGCAGTGAAGAGCACAAAGGCACATCGAGGATAGTTCATCATCAAGTATGCACAATAAGTCATCTCACAAACTTTTAAATCTGAAAAGTACAATAACCAAGATGTTAACAGCATAGGGTATCATTTGGTTTTGACCAACTAATCAGTGCCAGTGGCATGAAGTTTCACATTGAAACCTCTTGGTTATATGCCATATCATTATTTTGATGTGCTACCTTATACATGTAGTATGGACAATATCCAGACTTTCCTTCAATATTTTGCCATGCTAAAATTCAACCAAGTGACTCACAGGAATTAGAAAAAGATCTGCTGCTACATCAAAATAAACTTGTTGATTGCAACTGGACTGAACTGATAGAATCAAAACAATCATGTAGCCTTGCAATATTGAATACTACATACCCTCCAATGTTAGCTTTGGTTTGAAGGAGGTGCTCCAAACAAACCTCATGTCTCCCCAAATCACAATCACAGGCCTGAAAGGAAAAAATATCACATAAAGAAAGTAAAATACCTCACCTTTGAATCTTTCATCATAACAAAAAAAGATGTAACTACCGGTAGGTATTTGAACACCAAGCTCATTTTCACATGTGCAATATCTTTGAGGAAAATATCAACAGACTAACCTCAAAGAAAAACCAAAGTTTATCTGAATTCAAAATGATTTTCCAAGACACAGTGGAGGAAGGTAAAAACCAAAACTACATGTACTGTATACCTGTTGATATGGCATGTTGAGTAGCTTATCTATTAGTGCAGCTTATACACAACTGTTAATGGTACCACTGGCTGTAGTTTAATGTGTGCCCTTAGGGTTGTTACACTTACATTTTTTTAAGCCAACGTAAGGTGGTAGCCTAAAAAACTTACCCTCAAAGCCAAACAGAAAATGCAAAACTCAATAGCAAGTCCATGTCCACCAAGAACAAAGTGCTCATCCCCAATCTTAGCCATTAGAAGTAGCAAACCTTTGTAATCAAGAGTTACTATACAAACATAAACAAAGAAAAGGACTGGAGTGAATTAGCAATTACAGCCTTAATTATACAAAAAA